TAATAGTAAAAATTTTGCGAATCCAATAAAAAAGATACAAAACTGTAAATCAAAATTGAAGCAAGAAATGGCCAAAAGTGGTTCAATGACAAGTGTAAGAAAATAAGAAACAACAAGAAACTCCTTTTGAGAAGGTTCAGAGGATTATGAAAGAATGGATAGAAGACATCCTAAGTGAAACACAAATAAGCACAGTAATTAGAGGGACACACTCTTGAAAAATGGAATTCATCACCAATAAATGCCATGTCAGGCTAGGAGAAGGTAGAAATCGTCCTCTATACCAATACAAATTACGAGAGGGTTTCAAACACAGCTTATAGTGGAAAAAAAACTTCGAATAATCAAAAACAAGAACTTAAGCACAATTTATCATATAAATGAAAAGATCCATAATGATTGCCAACATGAAGTGGATATTCAGACCAAGATCAATACAGCCCTCATGAGACTTAGATTACGGTGCAGTGGCAAGGACTCCACATTTAAAAAAGGATATAGATAAACTGGAAAGAATTCAAAGAGTAGCCACAAGATGGGCACCTACTCGAAGAGATGTGAGCTGCGGAGAGTAGGACTTACTCCTTTGGATGAAAGAAGGAAAAGGGGTGACATGATTATGCTGTTCAGTTATACAATGACTTTATGCACACCCGAAGGACGAGAGAAGATACTCAAAGTTGAAGGTAAAAAGAGGCGAGAAAGATGTCAAAAAGTTCAGTTTCCCCAACAAAACAATTGGAATATGATATAATTTCTCAAATAACCATATCATCAGTTTTACAAGTTATATGATGATTTAAATACAGCAAACAGTGACCATCTGAGCTTAGCTCTACTTCCGCACTGAAAGTACTGTGTAAGAACACACACACACGCACGCACAAACGCACGTACACAAACAACGATAATAATTGTAATAACGATAATGATAATAGTAATAACAATAAGGACAATGACAGTAATAATAATAAGTATAACATTAACAATTATGATATTGATCATGATAAGAATAACAAGAACAACAACAATAATAATCATCATCATCATTATCAACAACAGCATCATGATGGTAAAAATCAAAACAATGATAATAGTAAGTGTAATGAGAATAACAGAAATTATAATAATAGTAATAATAATGACAGTAATAGTAATTATAATAATAATGACAGTGATAGTAATTATAACAATAATGAATTGAATGATTATAATTACATTGATATTGATGTTAATACTGATAGTCACAACAACAATGATAACTACAATACTGATAATAGTAATACTACTACTAATAATAAAAATAATAAAAAATGATAATGACAATGATATTAATAATAATAAAAAATGATAATGACAATGATAATAATAATGATAATAATAATAATAATAATAATAATAATAATAATAACAATAATAATAATAATGATAATAATAATAAATAATAATAATAATGATAATAATACTGATACTAATAATAATATTAATAACAACAATAATACTAACAGCAATAATAGTAAAGATGATAATAATAATAATAATAACAACAACAATAATGATAATAATAAAGACTATAGCACTGATAACAGTAATAATGATAATGATAATAATGACACAACAATAAAATAGATAACAGTAAAAATGATAATCTTTTTATACGGGTTGCTATTTTAGAAAAGGCTTCTCCATTCCAGCCAGTTATTCCTTTCTCTCTAAAATCTATTTTAGGGCTCCCTTCTACCTCCATGTGAAGCACTCAATTTCCCGCATATTCCTCTCTCCTCATTACGTGACCGTACCATTTTAACCTTTTCTCTCCTGTATTTTACTTGATATTTTCAACACTTTAGTTGTTCTACGAATTCTATCATTGCTAATCCTGTCTCCACACTCCACACACCCATCACAATATACACATTTCTGCCACATCAAGTCTCCTCTCCTGGTTCTTTTTAATCTGCTACGTTTCTATCCCGTACACCACTGCTGGTCTCATCACCGCCCTGCGTAATGTTTCCTTCATTCTTACATTAACGTTCTTATTACACAAAACACATGACACATTCCTCCAGCTTCTCCAGCCTGACTGTATCCTATGACTTATTTCTTGGGCCATTGTCCCATCTGATGACATATGGGAGCCTAAGCAGTTGAAGGTGTTAGTCCTTGTGAATTTTTCGCCCAGCAGCCGGACATCCTCGCCAGCCTCTTCCGCTTTGGGAACCATATAGTCCGCTTTCTTTCGACTAATCCTATGCCCTCTGTCCTCCCTCTCTAGGTCCCTCTCAACTTCTTCCTCGGCGCTGTCTATCAGAACTATATCGTCTGCAAATGGCGTATCCCATAGAGTTGCTTTTACTCTTTCCGGGTTGAGTACATCCAATATCAAATCAAACATGTATGGGTTCAAAGCTGAAGCCTGATGAAGCCCAACCTTAACATTGGAATTTTGTGTCCCCCCTAAACAAGTCCTAGCCTGTGTTCTTGCATTTTTAAACAT